CAACAACTCCCCCACATTTAAGCATTTGTTCGTCCCGAACAAAGAGAAAAGAAAACAAAATACGAACATAGGTATCGGATTGAAATAAGACGTGTTTCAAAATGTTTAAATCTATCGAGTCGAATTCCAACAACCGTACGACCATATGCCTCAAATATCGACTTGGCCTTAAAATGACAAACTCTCAACATTTAGGTCATCATATATGCCTCACTCATTTTCTTGTTTGAATATGTGATGAGTTCGCTCAAAATTGGTCGATATTCTCATTTCAACATATGCTTGCCAATCGTCTAAATTACTCGGAATCAATCAAAGCTTGAAATTTTCGAATCAAGAGGATTTATCGGGTTGTAATGTGGGATGTAGGTAAAGGTAAGAATATATAAATAGACAAGAAGCTCAAATACACAATTAAAATTCTCGAGTAATAGAATACTCGAATGTCCGCCACTCGCCCATACCGTCCACCAATGTCTCCACAAACAACACCTATATGCTCCAATCGAATTGCAATATTGCTTGAATTATTACACAATTTTTTTTATTTGGAGAGTTACTATTTCCGAACAAGCTTGAATCGTAAGGACAATATTCCTTAGGTTTAAACATTGGAGGTCATCCAAGTGTCCTAAGGTGGTTACCCATTACTCATTACTCGTTAAAATGAATAACAAGTAAGCGGAGTAGAATCCAATGGATTCATCTTGCGAGCTCTCATGTATTTTATTTTTTTATTATTTTTTTTTATATTGGTCAAGCAATAAAATGCAACTCAATTTTTACCTCGTTCAATAATATCGCCACTTCACCAATCGAAACTCAAGACCTGTCAACAATCAGATATATATATATATATATGGCTTACAAGAAAAGGCTTCAAGTTCAAACGGGCTACTAGAAAATGTATTTTTAGGGTCAAGAACAAGGCAAAACGAGCTAACAACAAAACGCCTCAATCATTTTCGTAATTTCAAACTTAAACCAATTCTTTTCAAATAGACTCAAGG